TATATTTGATTCAAGGTTGCTAAATAAAAACTAAAGAACAAAAAAGAAAAGTTTATATACTTCAACATATAATATGTGGTCGTTTCCACTTATGTCCAGTTATTTGATGAATGCCTCGACAATATAAATAGAGTTGATTAAATTGATTTATTAAATAACGACGTCGACTTGCCCATTCACTAAAACCACTTCGAGCCATAATTAATGTATCACATTCTCCAAGAACATAAAAATCTGAAATAACTTTAAGAAAACCTTGACATTGTTCATTTGATGAATATGATGAAGATAAACGATCAATATGAATTATTGGACCAGGAATAGACATTGATTGACTTGTATTGTATTTATTAAGAATATATTGATTTATATTCATTGAATCACTTGTTATAAAAATCATTGAATTTTTATTTATGGTTAAATTTTTATCAACAAATTGAAGAATATCTTCAACTATTGTATCACGATAAATAAGTTGTTTATCAGTAGCCATTGATGGATTTTTTCCCACACGTATATGTAAGCAAATAAGTTGTTTTTTAAAACTTTTTTCGTCATTTAATTTAATTAATAATTGATCAACTAAATTCATAACTTGTTTCGTTGGCAGAAAAAGAAGTTCATAAAGAAGTGGAAATAAGCGAGCTTGTGAAGATTCGTTATATGATAGATTTAATAAACTAACTAAATTCTGTATATGTTTATTAGCTAATGCGGGCGTTATATAATCACCGTTTGTTGTTATGTAAATATCATCATATTGAGACCATTCTGTAATAAAATTTGTCGAAGAAATTTTTTTATAAATAGCCTGTGCTAGTTGATTATTTCGTGTAGTTTCGATATACAACTGCTTACGATATGATCTATTAGAAAAAACAAAAATAATTTCTTATACTTGTAAATGTAAATAATGATTTTACTCGTATTTAATCGGTTTCCAATCATATAGATTAGGTTTTAAAAATTTTGTTACTTCACATGGATAAGGCATATCTATATAAAATCGTCGTCTACTAAGAATGGCTAAGATAAATGTCGATGTAATACCACGAAGTCGATCACCCCCTTAAAACTAAATGATATTATCTATCTCGATTGCAATAGGATGTATTGTATTAGATACTTACATCCCCCACACCATTCTCGACATAGATAAGTTATTGATGGTGATTTATTTGAAGATGGTCTATCGAGTAACATTGATATATTAACATGACCAAAATATTGATAAAATAAACGTAGACGTTCATCAATTTTAGTTGATAAAATATTTAATGACTTTACAGTTGTTATTCTACTTATTGAGCGTAGACGATAAATAAAAACACTAATTCCGATAGTAAAACATAATATTACAAGAAAACGGTAAGAACGAAGACTTCGCATTGCATACATATGTATGAATGTCCCGTATGGAAATGGATTATTTGTTTATCTATTATGATAGAAAGGTTATTCGTTTGCTTTGGAGATCATCCATATGGTAATTGTACAATAGTTGAAAAGAAAGAATAATGGCGTGATGATTATCTTTTGTTCGAGTGCAAATAGTTCTATTTAATTATTGAATATACGTCATTTAAAAGAAAGTTAGAAAAAAAATAGTTTAAATATTTGACAAATATGAACCAAAGATGTTTAAGTGAATTAAAACAAATAAATTTTCTACATCATTCAATACAAATGTGCCTATTAGTTTATTATTTCCCGTGTGAGAAAACAAAGAATTCAGAAATTGTAAATTAAAATATTAGCAATTGATGTTGGCCTTAATTTAAGTAATTAGCTTGAAATGAGAATATTGATTTAGAAGATACCAAAAAGATCAAAATTTATCTTTCTCCAAATAATAAATTCTCGTCAAAGTCTTCTTTTTTCAGTTTTAATACAAGTCAATTTTCTTTTTCTTTGGATTTACTTGGTATTTTTTATGGTTCAGTTTTTCCTATTATTTTTTTTCTATCAAACATTAGAAAATAATGATCTGTATTGTAATATGCAGTTTCAGTTTACTGACTACCGACGTTACTGACTCAGTAGCATTATTTCAAATTGGCACCTGCGTTTCCTGAAGAACGGGAACATAGTGCTACGAATAAAGGCATATTCTGATAGAATTGATGCACAATGTTGCAGCAAACGCGTAGATCAATATAATTAGTTCTTCAATGAACACCGATGCCAATATCACCAGTGTCTAAATGGATCCTGCGTCAGTGCCTTACTATCAATATTTCAATATTTTCACCAACACTGCACATGCCTAGATCTTTGTAATATATTTAAATAGTACAATTGACAAAGTTCCTCGATTATGATGAATTATCTAGATGAATAAACATAAACATTGTATGCTGCTTCCATCTCAGATTAGAATATTCCATTTTAACATGTTCACTAGATGGTACTGCTTTGTTTAAAATGTTATTGCCTAAAATAAACAAAACATCAATGTTTTAACAAAGAATTCTTGAATGTTTCCAATTTGTATTTTTTGAATGAGTAATGACATTATAACTTGAACGTTCGTCTTTAGAGACTTATCCAACTTTAGACATGATCTATAGAGATTTAGTCTATCATTTTCAATAGAAAAAAAAAATTAAGAATTCGTGGCAAGTACAAAAAGCAAAAGAAGAACGACTCAAGAAATTTGCAATATTGACACATAAAAACAAAATATCGTCTCAGTAGATTTACAAATTAATGAAAACTATATGTTTCCGGTTTAATCTAGTCTGATGAGAATTATACTTGTTTGGGGCATCACTTCTTTTGACTTAGTCAACATGAGTACAATGTTAAATAAGGGTAATCAATGCACGGTATAGGAAAATGTAATTGTGCAGAAAAAGGATTTATGGTGAATAATAACGCCAAAATCGATAATAACATAGAGGGAATAATTAAGATATCTTACGATGGTATCAGTTTCTTATTTAGCACTTATATTTGTGATAAAAAAAAGATTGTTTACATCATCAAAATATTGAAATGAATTTTCAGATAAAGCTCTAAAATGGATTGAAAATATAAAAAAAAAATCTCTAAAGGGAATATTTCAATCTTTTATAGTATAGATCAGCTTGATTAGAACAATGTCAAAGAGTACAAGTCGCCATTAATACTTGGAAACCTTTTAAATAAAAAAACATTGTTACATACTGTTAATCCTACTATTCAGATTTGTCATACTATCTTATTTCATAAATATTAATATTAGACAATATGTTCGAAATGCGTAGTTGGCTTACAGAGATATCTAGAATGATTTTCTTTGTAGTCACCACTGGATGACTTTTTTTTTCAATAAACATATATAGCACTAATGAATTGAAGATTTAATGAAATTATCAAATTTTACTCAAGTTGAGAAATTATTTATTTCTTGAAAAAATTATTATGAACTTGTTATACAAAAAAAAAATCATATTTGAAAAAAGTTCATTAGAGCATGCGTAATTATGTGTTAGTATAGTTTTTGTTGATGTCAATATAACATTTTATCTTATTCATCTCATTCTCTTTATAATTCGTGATAAAAAAAATCTCGATGGATCTTGATTTTTCGGAAGCACAAAATAATTATACTTTGTTTTGCTGATTACAAAGTTCTTATTTGACTTATATCTATATTTTTTTTTTGTTTTTTTTTCTTCTTTTTAAACATAATATTCAATATGTTCTTTATTCATTTATATTTAGTTCGCTTGATCTATATACATGAGATTGAATTCATTAATCTCACACATCCTGGCACGTTTTATGTTGTATTAAAAACCATGGTGCCGATGAGTCTATGTAAGAGTCAGAGATCTCTGAGTTAGTCAAATGCAATTCATACAATAAAATCACATTTGGTTTATAATCATTGATTATGACTATATGTTTTATTAGTTGTAAAATTCGTAATTACGTGTCTTCCTCTAGTTATTTTCCATTAATTGTAAGTTAGTATCAATTTATTTTTGTATTTCTACAGGATAATGATATAAAAATAATTATAAGAGAATTGATGACACAAAAAAAAACAGAAACATAACTAGAAAATAAACAAAAATGAATTACAATAACTCAATCCAAACTAACGAAAATTATATATTCATAGATAAACAACAAATTCATACCCATCAAATAATAAAGATAATCATGCACAATAAAGATATATTTTGCACAGTTATTAACATAGGAAATGATGACAAGATAAATGTATGTTTAGTTATTATTAACTATAATTCTTGTATGCATGCATGCTTTTTTTGTTTTTTTGTCATTGACAAGAAAATAAGACTTATTTATAATCAATGTTATCGATTCATTCGGAAATAGTTTGCCGTTTTCTTTTTTTTCTTCTTATTATGGATCTTAGCTGAGATGATCCGTTTGATTTATATGTATTTTTTCGATTTAATACTATCGCAAAACTATTTATCATCAAAGACTTGACAATCATATTTAGTATAAAAAGTTTCTTTTGATTTAATTTTGTTTTCTTTTAATTATCTCAAGCTAAATATAATTGCAAAAGTTACAGTTATAAACCTTATGAAAATAGATTGAGTTACAGCTGTTTATTTATACTTAATTATTTATTTTTGTATGAATATGTATATTTACCTATTATACCAGTTTCTTTAAGTTAAGACTAGTCTTCAAGTTATTTTTTGCCACACTCTACATGATATTATTATTTTCTGGAGAAATATTTACCATACAAACTATCTATTAGTTTTGTTTCTTAGAGAAATCGTATGACACAAATATTGTATTGACAACGATGAACACATAAGCTAATACAAAAACATATGAAAAGAAAAAATATATATCCTTTTTGAATATAAGTTGCATGCTTCATTTAAGTTTTAACGTTGCTGTTAGATCTAAATGACTAATTAGTTTAATTGACATGAAAGTAAATAAAATAGTATGACTTTAAGAATCGTTTTCATGAAATATTATGCATAATTTATTTAAAATACATGCAACATACTGTATAATCATTCTTTCTGTTTCATGACTTGATGTGTAGGATAAGATTTCATGCATTGTTTACCAAGATGGTTTCGTTGTTTGATTTGATAAACGGGTTGATGAATATTATTTTGTCCATTTTGTATTGGTGATCGACGACGATCATTTGAATAACGATTTCGTAAAACTGCTTTACTAATATGTCTTATATAACGTTTAGCAATACGTTTTAATTCTTTACGAAATTGTCTTCCACTTAGACAATAAACATAGAAATTTAATGAACAATTTGCTAATATAATAACACTAACCCAATGTGCTAATATAAGATTTGATGTTGAAAAAAAAATCAATGATGTTATACTTGATGAAAGAAAAAATAATAATGAATGTAATAATAAAACAATATTCATCCAAGACATTTTTCCAAATGGTACACTTGTATTTGAATTTGTTGATCCTTTTAATGACGTTTGTCTTGATGAACTTTGTCGTTGTAATTGTTGACTTCTATCATATAAATATAATGGTGATGATGCTGGCATTTTTGTTGTTGAACCAATTGTTATTGGCATTGATAAAGGACTATTATGATTATATTGTTGTCGTCGTCTAACATGTGCTGTTGTACGTAAAATACATGCTATTATACCAATATTAAATAAAGCAACTAATAATGATGGTATTAATTCTGAAAATAAACATCGTATTGTGTGATAATTAAATCCAAATGATAAGTCATCAAAATAATTTTGCCACATAAATGATAGATGCTGATTATCATATGTACAATGTATTGATGATTGTGTCGTATTAGGACTATAATAATAAATGGTTTAGACAAAATCATCCAAAAATACAAAAAAAAAAAATTATTTTACTTTGCAAAATTTGGTGCAAAAAAAATCACAGTTGGACCCGATACGATAATAACCATAATTAATGCAATTATAATCATACATAAATATTTATATTTTTCCAAGAAATGAAATTTTTCACCACGATTATATGATAAATGTAAACGTGATGTAACATATACAAATCTTTCAATAACCCAAAAAACAGTTATCCATGCAGCAAGTACACGAAACGATGATGATAAACGAAAAATTTTACATGTTAACCAATGTATACCAACAATATTATCAGATAACCATCGTCGTGTTGTTGAATGAAGCAATAATGTATAACGTATAACACATATTAAATTAATTGAAAATGATGCTAAAGCTAAACTAGCATATGTGGAACAACAACGAAAGCGACGTGATGAAAAAACTACAAGACCAAGAAGATTACCAATAAAACCAAGAATAAATAAAATAACACAAATCCAATCAATTGTAACTACAACTTGTGCCATTGATAGTTTACACAGATATCTATATGTTAAATAATAATATAAACTATGGAGTGACATAAAGAAGGAAAGTAAGCAGGATATATAAAGAAGGAAAATAGAGAGAGAGAGAAAGAAAGAGAATATTCACACAACACCGGAAAAAAAACAAAGCTACCAACATCAAAGACATTTTTAACCTTCGTTCTTGTCATCTTCAATGCATTTGCTTACTATTACATTAAAGCAGAAAGATAAGATCGAGTTTATGCTTGGTCGACTTTTTAGAAATACTGTTAAAAAAAAGAAGCTGAATATTACATCTTACGGAATCTAATGATAAAGCTTTGCATCCGTTTTCTTCATTAGATCAACTTACTATTGAATATGTCAAAACAAAAAAGTCATACAAAGAACAACCCTCCTACAAACATTTATTTATTCATAGACGACAAATGTCAAGTTGAAAAATCAATGGAAGAAAAAAAATTGATGTATTAATTTCAATCGGCTAAAAAAAGAATCTCATAAATATTAAGAAAAATCTAATAATATTCATACTAATTGCAATTTTTTATTAATCGGAACATGTTTAACAAGAAAATGCTTTTAGAAATCTCTTCTCAACAAGAAAGAGCGCGCAGCTTTAAAAGGATCGCTTTTTGTTCGGGTGTTTAAACATGCTCTTATTTGCTTTCTCTTTGTTTCCAACAAGAGTATATGCATTTAAGCATACATATACGAGCACTTTCGTCTTTTCAAGTCTTGATAATAATGAATGAGAAAAAGGAATTGGCATTTCCTGGAGAAAAAAAACTGACGTGCTAGTCACTGTCTATATGCGTGTCTATCGCAAATGATCGGTGCGAAGAATATACATAGATCGACTTTAAAAAAATCTATAAGGAACGTTGATGATGCCAAGAAACTAACTGAACAATTGCTCACAGTTCTATCTTCTATATATAATTATTTGTGGTTAAATGAATATATGTAAGACAAGAGATTGTCAACACTTTAATGACATACTCAAATAGAGCAAGCATTCGTGCATGAATAGTTGAATAGCAATTCCTTATTTTTCTTTTTCGACTTATTGCAGAAGAAAAATAAAATGATAAAGAGACTAACGTATCAAATACAGATTAAACTGATGCTAAGAATATGTGAATATATATATATATATTGCTAAAAGTTATTATACTATTATGTTCTCGATTATATTTTCATATCGAGATAACAAATTAAATTCGTCAATTATTCGGACGTATGATTAGAATTCCAACATGAGTATATAATATTACTTGTACATAATTAAATTTAAGAAAATAAGTCAATGATCAACCAAAATATCTAGTCGAATAATATATGATTCTTGACATAACCTACAATGTACTCAACTTGGCCAAATAAAAATGTCAAATAGTTCTTTTTTTAGAGTAAAATAGGTATATTATTTTTTGAGAAATATGTTTTTTTTTTTAATATTTGATTTCAACTAATTAAGCAGTTGTAGATATTACTTTATATAACGTGCGCATAGCACAAACTTGTCCTAAATTTTATTTTTCATCGATTTATATATATAGCTTCACAGAATTTGAATAGCTAGTTATGAATATATGCTTTTTGTTTCAATTATGTGTTGTCCCTTCTTGGCAAAAAGCTGTAAATACTTATAAGAGCATTGATGTAATCCAAATCATTCTTTCTTAAAACATTTCTGAAGTGTCTATAATCTTTTCTTCTAATGCAGCTTAAAAAATAGTATTGAAAAATATTATTTGCTTAGATTAAAACTAAAATAATATAAAACAAACTGCTATGAATATGTATAGGCTTAATAAAATAAGGACCAAAAATCGTCCTATTTATTGCATTTTCTATTAGGAAAACTTAGTTGAAACTCAAAATAAACAATATATTCAAAATTAGCATGAAAATACACCCCAGGCCATATATATATATATTTCGGCAAAATCACTTTGCCACGAAAAAAGACACTTGTAATCCCTCAAAGCGTTTTTCTTCGGCAATCTTGCTTACGATCGATTTTCTATTTGATATACACTTTACTGAAATGTATGCGGCTAAATGTCAATTATTATGATGATTCTTAATATTTTGTTTATTTTGAATCAAGTTTGAATGATAGAAACTATACTAAACAAGGCTTTTTCAAGATATTTTTACTAGTAAAACAAGAAAATGTTTGATTGTCTCAACAGTAAAATAAAATCTAAATAAAAAAAAACATAAATTTATACTTTTATAAATCGAAACCATCTGATTCAAATGAAATAAGACATTTGATCTAATCTTCTGTCATAAAAAAAAACTAGATAGGCTTAAAAACAATGTCTATAAATATATGCTGTAAACCTACGTATACATCTTGTCAAAATTATTCTACTATAAATAATTTTATTGATTTATTTTTTGAATATATCACAAAAACTAGACGAGTGAGAATAATCTGGTTTTTATCAGATTACAGTTCATAGTCTTAGTAAACTCGTAAAAAAAGTTCAGGTCAATCCATTGATCTGTTTATAGTTTTTTTTTATTGACGATATAATCGCAACATGTTGCTTTTCATCCTTCCAAAATTATCCAACGCCGCTTTTTTCCAAATTAGTTCGTCCCCACTGCTCTAAGTGGCATTTTTCTTTATTATGCATGATTCAATAGAAGAAAGCATTTTTTTCATGAGAACTACTTTTCATTATAGCTTTCTGTTGAGTAAGGATTTAATAATAACGTTTCTTTTTTTCGCTATTTACCAAGAATTTTCAAGCACGCGGTTACAAAAGACTGTTTTACATTTAATGTGTTTAGCTGTTTTAATGTTCAATATAGCGTTGGGAAGAGCACTACAAATTACATCTGATATTACATTTTAATTGATAGTTTACGTTGGAAAAGTATATTAGTTATCTCTCATGTATACAACAATTATAAATAGAATTCCTTGTACCGTCTTATTCCCACATTGAAGAAAGTATAAGAAATTGTTTTTAAAAGCGTGAATGACTAAGGAATCTTTATTTCGTAAAAACTGTTATATTTGAAATTAAAACCGATCGTCTGGCTAATATGATAGACTTTTGTTACATTATTAATAGCATAATTAAAAAGATTAGTATAGTCTCAGTCACAATCTCACTGGATATCTCATGAGATGCATAGCTAATTTTTTACACGTCACGTCTATGTAGACAGAAGATGAAATTTAGAACAGCACACTATGTTTAGTTTCATTAAAATACATCTTTGTTAGGCAAGTTACATATTCAGTCTGTTGCAGAGACTAGGGGGATCATTTTACTCCCGCTAGCAATATAACAAAAATATATAATTTGAGGAATACGATTGTTTTGCTTTCAAATAAAAGAGTTTTGTATGGATACAAAGTTCTTATTCATACTCGATTATAAAACAATTTTTTATGCCTTCTTTAATGCTTCAATTTGTGAATCAGACTGTATAACAAGGTCTATCTGTCATTGTTCGATACATAAGAGAGGACAGAAGCAATTTTTCAGCATTAGCTATCAATTAAAATAGAATAACTCATGCAATGTATAGTGCTCTCATTAATACTATATTGAATAATGAATTGGCTAATCACACTAAATAAAAAACAAGTTTCGTGTTGCCTTGTTCTCGAAAATCTCTGTAATAAATTAAAAAAATACTGTGACTGAACGCCTACTCAAAAGAAAGCGATGGGCACAAGTACTCTTTAGGTAAAGAACAATTTGTTCTATTACAGATCACCACATATGTTAGGGCTCTTGTAAAAGAGTTGTTCAAGCAAAGTCATTCCTTTCATAGTCTGTTAAGACTCTGACAACGAAAC